CGTCTTCGCCCACAACGTCGTGGAGGGCCCCGCCGCTCCCGCGACGCTGCAAGCCAGGGCGAGCGTGACGCCGCCGGCGGCGTTGCTGGCGGGCTGCAACACGAAGGACGGGGCGGAGTTGACGTACTTGGACGCCTTCGCGGCAGCCCGCCGGGTGGAATGCGGCGCCTGCAAGGACGGCGACGCGGCGTGCCGCGTGCCTGGGCCGGAGATGTTTGGAGCCGCCGCGGTGCCGCGGCCGGAGGCGCCTGTGGACACGAGCACTGGGCTGCGTGGTGGGTCAGACGCTCACAAACGTCTCACTGGACATGTGGAAGACGCACCACTGCTACGTGGGCGTGACCTTCAGCGGCGCGGGCGCGGTGGCGAAGTTCTCGCTCACGCGAATGCCGCTGCACCTCCCTATCAACATCACCTTCTCTGGGTGCACGTTCCTGGACGGGGCCGCGCTGCAGTTCGTTGGGGGCGATGAAGCGGCGGAGTCCGCTGGAGTGCTGATCCGCGTGCACAGGACGGTGATGAAGTCCTCCGTTGTGGCTTTCTCGCGTGCCCTCCCGCAGCGCTGCGACATCGCGGTCACGGAGGTTGACGCGGTGCAGCCCTCCTCGGTCTCCTTGCCGGGCGTTGGGGACAGCTCGCACAGCGTGGTGACGCTGGAGAGTGTCGTGTTGAATGCCTCTTCGCTGTTGGTCAGCAACGTCAGGGCGCGTGCGTCCGGGTATTACGGCAAACCAGGTGTGCATTCGCCCGGGTACCTGAAGCTGGTGGGCGGCAGCTCCCTGTACGTGCGGTACTGCAGCTTCGAAGATTACACGCATCTCCTCTACGCGTATAGTCTGAGCCTCAGCGATCACTCCGTTTTGGCGGTGCTCAACAACACAATGAGCGCCGGGATGTCCTTCCTGTTCCAGCTCTCCGGGTACAGTGTGTCGGACCACAGCGTCCTGCGCGTGGTGGGGAACCGCGGCCCCGTGTCCTACGCCATCTTCATGTACAACTCGTGGTCCGTCCAGCAGTCGAGCTGGCTGGATTGGCGCGACAACGACGTGGGAGCGGGGGAGATGTTCTACCACCTCGCGTCAGCGCCTATCAGCGTCGACAACAGCAGTGCGGTGACGCTGACGGGCTGCAAGATGGGCTCCACGGGGGTGTCGCGGTCCCTGCTGAAGCACGCTGACGCCGGCTACAAGTTCACCGCGGGGTGCCTGACGGTGGCGGGGAAGGTGCTGACGGCGGCTGAAATGGGGCGCAACGGCATCGACAAAGTGACGACGGTTGCGGCGTGCGGGGAGTGCACGAAGGACGGCGACTGCTTCGGTGCGCTGACAACGGCGGTGCGCGGCTGCAAGTGCGAGTGCGCCAGTGGAGGGCACGGCGATGTGTGCGCCCCGGCGCCTGTACCTGTCGGCCCGGTGCCTGTGCCATCCCCGCCGTCCCCGCCGCCCCCACCGGCGTTTGGCGAGTGCGTCAGCGACGTGGTGTACCCCGAGGTGACGCAGGCGGTGGGCAGCGGGCTGTCGTGGCTGTGCTACCGCAACGTGACCTTCAGCGGGGGCGCATGAT